AAGACGGCAAGGGTGAAGTTCCTTTGGGCGAGGAGGGGAAGAAAGACGGCCAGGGTGAAGTTCCTTTCAGCAAGGAGGAAGAAGAAGATCAGAAAGTACCAGTTGTGACACGACGTGAGCAATGGATGGCAAAAGCAAAGCCTCAGCCTCAGGCCAGGGGGGCGCGGTCGTGGGCGTGGCCGTGGCCGTGGCAAGACGAATGAAGTGAAGGAGGTCGAGACCATCCATGTAGATTCAGATCAAGATGACGATGGAGAAGAACAGGAGCAAAAGAGTGATCCTGGGAAACCTGATGGACAGATTGCAGAAAGGCCACCTAAGCGACAGCGCGGGGCAGCGCCAAAGGCTAATAAGAAGCCTCGTCGTTCGAAGAAGCAACAGGAGGTGGAGGAAATTGTGGAAGTTGAGGAGGCTGACAAGGAGAATGAGGCCATGTCGGCAAAAGACTTAGTTGTTTGGGGTGTTCTCACGAAGGAAGGTGTTGTCCACATCAATGACTTGTACGGGTGGGACAAACAAGTGCAGGACCCAACTGGTGCTGCAAAGGGTGGTGAATCAGCAGCACCTCCGGCCAAGAAGATGCGTGCTGCTGCTCAAGCCCCACCTGTGGAAGCAACTGGGTCTGCGGAGAAGCCGGAGAAGCTGAAGAGTTTTGCCAGGCGACCATGCCCTTTGAAGAGTCCAGCCAAGGATCGTTGGATGGCCATTCGTGACACTTTCGATGAGGAGCTCATGGTGTGGCTCATCTATTATGGTTTCACCAACGTTAGCCAATGGGAGGTTGGTGTTGGGGACTTGGGATGACTTGGCCGGCGGCGGAAAGTTGAAGTTGCTAAATTGTTTTTGACATTGTTGCACTGGTTGTGCATGGTTGAATCTTTAAAGGTCTGAAGCATCGTCAAAGTTTTGAAGACCTGCCTGCAGGCAGAGTGGTGGGATTCTTGCCAGGCGGCATTCAAGGCGCAGGGGAACTCCAACAAGGATTTGGCTGGTTACATGGACTTCTTGAAGGAGCATGCCGCCGCTTTTAGGGAGGCAACGTGCCTTGACATGGACCTTGCTGAAGTGTGAGCCGCAGCTTTATGGCTGGTCGTGCCTTTTGCTAGGGTTGCACGGCTGGTTAGGGGGGGCGGAAGCGACAGCGCTTTCAATTCTAATTATTGCATTTAGTGTGTTATTGAGCGCATGGTTTGATGGAATACCATTGAACTGGAAATTCGTTGGAACAATTCGTGACCTTGGTCTGAAAAAATCAAGCCATGGAAGAATCACGAAGAAGTTGCGATTGAAAGTAAAAAGAAAAGAGAGTTGAAAGGTAGACATTCAAACCGGCTTCAAGATCTCATCACACGCTACGCATGATCATCCAATGCATGAGTCCGCACTGTGCGCTTGTCTGCGTGTGCGTTTGGGGGTGCATGCGTGCATGTGCACACTCACACTGTGGGCCATTTGGTCTTTCCTCCCTGCAGCGTGCCAGGTTCAGTGGACTCTCCGATGTACGGTTTACGGAGAGGCTGCATCAATCTTGCCAAATATCATCAAGGCCCAGTGGCCCGAGGAAGTACCGCTGGCTGAGTTTAAGATGTCCAGCTGTGCGCATGCCCAGTTCTTTTGTTGGTGAACTTCAGTGGACCATTAGCTGCCTCGTGTTTACTAAGTTTTTGTGTGTGTCTCAAGTCCAGGGTCAAGGATCATAGAACTATCGTTTCACGTTTGGGACACCATGTCACTTGGTGAATGCATTCATGTTTAGTTGCCTTCAAGCAAAGCAAAGCAATACTTTTTACATCTATTTACTTTCCAAACCCTCGCTGCAATGACGCCATCACAATTCGATCTCTTAATCCGAAGACTGATTGCAGTCAAGACCCCAAAAGAATCTTGGTTACACTTTATCACAGCACATGTTCTTTGAAAAGGATTTGGAAAGGTGAGTTCACCATTCAAAGCCCAGGTGGTCATTCTCCTCATCCTCCTCATCTCGTGGCTGGATGTTGAGAAACATGAACGTGAATTTCAGGTAGTGGAATTCTACGCTGGGGTGGGGAGGGTGGCGTCCCTTGCGAAATGGGTTGGCTACAAAACAGCGGCCATTGATGTTCTATACGGTGAAAACCGTGCTAAACCTGGAGGGCGGAAGCCCATGGACATCAATGGCAGTGCAGGCTTTGTGTCCCTTGACCTTTCATGTTTTTTCCAAGGGGGGTTTTATGAACATGTTCAACCCACAACTGGTATTCATTATCTTTTAATTCACAAACCATTATCGAAACGTCCTGTGAACATGCGCCTGACTTAGGCTATGTGTACTCCTCCTATTGAATGGAGAATGGGAAGCCATGGTGTGTACCTTTGCCATTGTGTGTTCATCCTGGGTACCGGTGAACCGCCATAGCACACACCGATCCTTGCTGACTCCTTTGGGGAACGAGAACTTCACAGGTGTTCGACGTGCCAACAAGATGACATCCAGGAGAACCCCTGTGGATGGAACATTGCACTCACTCAAGCAATATACTTTAGGATCGATATATCGTATACTATACCCATTAATCCATATATTCCCTGAATTCTTGCTCTTGCAGGACCGTGATCTTGATCCTGATCGTTGTGCTTTCCGGAGGCACGTATCTCATGGAGAATCCGGCGCTATCTTTGATAGCCCTGCATCCAAGATACATTTGGGTGGTGGACCGTCTTGCGGAGTTTGGGATCTTGGTTCCTTAGATCTGATTAGCAAGCGTACACTTCCGTAGCATGCACGTTATGAATCTCAGTGCTTCAGTCTAGCGAGTGTGAAATTTGTTGATGGTGCTACTAAGACCCACAAAGTTAGCTTCTGGATGCGGAAGTATCTTTCAATGTCATGGAAGAGAACATGGGTTTGGGGCAACACGAGACGCATTGCTGGCTTGGATCTGGGACCTATGACAGACCAAGAGAGGGAGGACTCTGAGCCAACCACGACCACATATATAGATGCTGCTGGCAAGAAAAGGTTTAAGGGAAATCCAAATTTGAAGCGTTCTCAGTATCTCGACTAAATGTAGTGACTCATGAATGCCAAAGCAACGTGCATGTGCGCTAACGATCCCAATCCTTTCTTGGTTGACCTGAAAAACTCAGGCAATACACCTTTCGTTTTGCATCCACCCTTGTATCAATGGTACCCAAGCTTCGTGAAGACAGCATTGGTCGCAAGATGCCTGTCGAGGCAGTGTGTATGGGCACTTAAACGGTAGATCTCAGAACTTGCTCATTGACTTTAATTGACCAAAAGAAATGAAACACGTCAGGGGCTCTCCTACCATGTTGATTGCGTTTCTTTTGGCATCCAGCCATTTCCAGGTGGTTGAAGGCTCATTGGTCGAGCTGTTTAACCGGCTACCATGGGATGAGGAGGGTGCTGCGTGGGAGTTAGAAGCTGATCTGAAGGAACTCATCATATATGTTCGAGGGAGCAAGAAGCTTCGAATCCCTTCCGAGTGGCGTTGTGCCATTCCTACAGCCATTTAGTAGCTATTTTCAAACAGTGCGGCCTTTGCACCTTAATAATCATGAAAATCTCACATGCTGTTGAGTCGAGCGAGTGTTGCACTGTGACTTCAAATATCCTAATTCAAATGGCGAGCGATGCTATAATTAGGATGGATTTGCTTTTGTGGCACTGTGCCTGCAAATTCGTTCACGATCTCAGATGCCTGCTGGACGGACTCACCTCGAGCGGGAACAAACGTGGCTGGTCATGTCATGAGAGTTCATGTCATGAGAGTTAAAACAGCCTTTTCATGAATTCCGGAATCAACTCACAAAGCACCTTATGTCATTCATGAATTCATTCATGGCTTTGTCAACTCTAGGGCGAGGAATTTGCGGAATTCATGAATTTGTTCTATAAAAAGAAAT